AACAGTTTTTGAAGCAACAAGAGGTGAAAACTGTCTTGACAATATTTTTATAGATCAAGATACAGAGGTTAGATTGGCTGAGGTTTTTGACCTGGGTTTTTCTGATCACCGAGGTCAGCGGGTTGATTTCATAGCAGAAACGAAGAGACAGCCTTACATAGAAAACATAACAATGTCTAGACCTATAACACAAAGGGGTAAGTTTCAGTTCCACAATAAAATAAATGAGGCAGATTGGGATTTTATAAATGGGACTAATATGAATGTTGATGATAAATTCGCTGATTTCATGAATATACTTGAGAAAGCTTACTTGGACTCTTTTCCAGAAAAAGTCTATAAAGCTAAATCAAATAACCCACAAAAAATAAATTGGTTTAGTGAGGAATTGAAAACAATGCGTGAACAGTTGTGTTTTTTGCATGACCTCAGTATACAATATCAAAGTGAAGAAATTTCTCAAATGTATATAGAACTTAGGAGAAGATACAAAGCCGAAATACGGACAGCAAAGCTTCAATCTAACAAGAATTACATTCAGACATCTGGTAATCCGTCACGTGCTGTCTGGGAGATTATAAATTGCAAACGGGGTATTACAAAAAATAAGAAAAGTTCTGAAAATCATACAATCTCTCCAGATAACTTTAATCAGTATTTTGCAGAAATTGCAAATAATCTAGTAAAAGATATTCCACCAATCAACTTACGTCTTCCTGATATGAAGTTGACCACCACAGGAAATAACTTTTCTTTTTCTCCAGTAACTTTCAACCAAGTTAGAGACGTTATCAGTAACTTGAAAAATAAAAATAGCCGTGACCTTTATGGACTGAATGTAAAACTAATTAAATCTGTAAAAAATATTATAATAAGCCCTCTTACTAAACTGATAAACTTATGCTTTCAAGAAAATACATTCCCTCAAGTTCTTAAAAGAGCTGTTGTAACCCCCATTTTTAAAAAAGGTAACTCTCAACTACCTGAAAACTATAGACCAATTTCACTACTGCCAATAATTTCAAAGGTAGTTGAAAGATGTATGTCTCTACAAGTGGTTGATTTCTTCGAAAATAATAACTACTTTTCGAAAAGCCAATTTGGCTTTAGGGAAGGCAAGAATACAGTGCTGGCCATCCTGGACCTGGTCTCATATATAATAGATTCATTTCATAATCTTGAGTTCACCTCAGTCTTGCTATGTGACCTTAGCAAGGCCTTTGACTGTGTCGACCACAGCATCCTCTTGCAAAAATTTAAAAACTATAACTTCTGCCCAGAAAGTATCAACTTAATTCAATCCTATCTTACAGGCAGAGTGCAGGTAGTGAGAATCTCTGGGGTGGATTCATCGGAACGAGTAATGAACATCGGTGTCCCGCAGGGGTCAGTGCTGGGTCCGATACTGTTTCTAGTGTATATTAATGATCTACCAGCCATTGACAACAAAGCCAAGTACACACTATTCGCTGACGATACAACACTGTCTTTCTCTGCGGGCGCTCTTGATAGGGCTTTGGAGGTTTCCAGGGAGGCACGGGAAGGAGCCGAGGAGTGGTTTAGAATGAATAAACTGCTGCTTAATACTGGAAAAACACAACAAATTGTATTCTCAATGAGAGATAATGGGGACATAAATCAGACAGGCAGTGTTGGATTTCTAGGAGTTCAGCTTGATCCAAAACTACAGTGGGGACCCCACATCAATGAGCTATGCAGTAAGCTAAGTAGAGGCATCTTCGTTCTGCGAAACCTCAAAAACTGTGTCACTCAAGACATAATGCGAATAGCATACTTCTCTATCTTTCACTCGCATCTTTCTTATGCTACTCTTGTGTGGGGCCATGCTGCTGACACCAGTCGAGCCTTTAGTCTACAGCGGAGGGCAGTAAGAATCCTAGCTGGACTTCGTTTCAGAGATGAGTGTAAACATGCTTTTAAGACACTCGGAATTCTAACTTTGCCATCTCAGTACATTCTTGAGAATCTCTTGTATATTAAACAAAGACTGGATTCCTTTGAGTGCCACAAAGACAAGCATGACTACAATACTAGATATAAAGATAACCTCGTTCCTGCCTATTGGAGGTTAAAGAGGTGTCACACTGGACCTGGTTACTGGGCAATAAAATTTTTTAATGTGTTACCTGATGACATAAAAATCTTAGATTATAAAAATTTTAAAAATAGGATTAAGGAAATTTTAATAAGTAATGCCTTTTACAATTTTGAAGAATTTATTTCTCAAGTTTTTTAACTAGTGTCTGTTTTGTATATTAGATTGTAGGATTACTATATATTCATGTAAACATTGTATTTTGCCTGTCTTAATGTATCATTTTACTACTTTGTCGACGATTGTAAACATACTGAATATGTAAAAACATGAATAAAGATTTGAATTTGAAAAAAAAAAAAAAATAATAATTCTGATAAGTTGGAGTATGATTATTGTTTTCTAGATTATAAGAATTGTAATTTTAGGGATTTAAATGTTTATCTGTCTTGTGTGGATTGGGACTCTTTTGTTGATATGGATGATATAAACTCTGCTGTCGATACTTTTTATAATCAAATTTATCATGCTATTGAGATCTTTACACCCATTTCAAAAAGAAAAACAGCAAAATTTCCAGGATGGATGGATAATCATTTAAAATGTTTAATTTTGTCTAAAAAAAAGGCACATCAAAACTATAAAAATACTATGTCCGCTCAGGATTATGGAGTTTTTTCAGAAATTAGGAAAGAATGTAAAATTTATTCTCATATCAGCCATAGGAATTTCATTGAGAAAATCGAGTCCGAGACACAGGACAGAAATGGATTTTGGAGATATGTACGATCGAAAAATGAAAATCGTGGATATCCCAGTTCTATGTTTCTTGATGAGCATGAAGGTAGCACACCTCATGAAATTGTCAATCTCTTTAAGGATAGTTTTTCCTCGGTTTATACTGAGGTGAGTGTTGAGAGTGATCGAAACATTCCTGTCTCTAATTTATCTAGTTTGTCTAATTGCAGTATCAGTTCGGTTCAAATTACCCCTCTTGATATATTTAACAAGATACATTCATTGAAGAATGGATTGGGTTGTGGTCCTGATGACATCCCAGTATTATTTGTTAAGAATTGTAGTTGTATTCTTTCAGAGATATTATATAAAATATTCAATAAGGCTTTAGAGTTAGGACGGTTTCCTGATATGTGGAAATTAAGCTATATAACTCCTGTGTTTAAAAGTGGAGAAAGAAATAATATCAAAAACTATAGGGCCATATCCAGAATGTCTATTTTTTCTAAGGTATTTGAGTCTATAATAACGGATTTTCTTACACCAATTTTGAAACATGTTATTGTACCAGAACAGCATGGCTTTATTAAGGGTAGATCTACATTGACTAATCTTCTGGTCTATGAGGAGGCTCTGTTGGAGGGCTTGGAGAATAAGTGTCAGATTGACTCGGTCTACACTGACTTCTCCAAGGCCTTTGACAGGGTTGACCATAAGATACTATTGGAGAAGGTGGCCGATGTGGGGCTGCATGGAGGTCTATTGAGCTTGATGGGAAGTCTTCTCACAGGTAGAAAACAGGCTGTAAAAATTGAGAATTACATCTCTTCAGTATTTTCGGTGACCTCGGGGGTGCCTCAGGGAGGACACCTGTCTCCTTTGCTGTTTAGTATATTTATTAATGATCTGTCAGGTGTCTTCAGAAATTCCGATTTTTTGCTCTTGGCTGATGACTTGAAGTGTTTTATAGTTGTTTGGGATGTCAGGGATGCTCAATTATTGCAAGTGGACTTGGATATGTTTCGGACTTGGTGTCAAAGAAACAAACTCCCCTTAAATGTTGAGAAGTGTAAGATTATTACTTTTTCTCGGAAAAAAACACCATACTTACATAATTACGTTCTTAATGATTTGGAGATTAACAGGGTTGAAACTATTAGAGACTTGGGAGTCTATTTCAACACTAATGTAAGCTTCACAGAGCACATTGAAATAACTGCTAATAAAGCAATGAAATTACTAGGCTTTATGTTCAGGTCACTAAAAGAATTTACTAATATCTACACCCTAAGAAACATTTAATGTGCAATTGTTAGATCAGTTGTAGAATATGCTTGCCCTGTCTGGTCCCCTTATTATGCTGTGCACATCTCCCACTTGGAATGAATCCAAAAAAAGTTTTTAAGATCCATTGCATATCGATTGGGCATCCCAAGTGAATCTATAAATTATAATGAGTTAATGTCTGTCCTAAATCTTGAAAATCTGAACCAGAGGCGACAGTTTTTTGATATGTGTACTTTGTTTAAGATTGTTAATAATTCTATTGATTCTCCAGACTTACTTGCTAGAATTGGCTTACATGTACCATCTAGCAATTTAAGAGGAAACACATTGTTTAACCTTGATTTTCGTAGAACCAATTATGGTTACCATTCACCTTTACTTAGAAGCTGTCGTTCTCTGAATGATATTATTTTGAAGACTGATTTGGATGTTTTTAACATAAGTTTGGATAGATTCAAAAGAATTTTAAAGTCGATCCTAAAATGATCGTTTTTTTCTATTTGTATTCAATTTTAAGCGTATTATGTTGTTTGTGTTTTGATACCTACTACAAAATATTTGTTTAGGCTTATGTAATATTGTTTTTTTATACTAACTTGTCTGTTGCCTACTTGTTATTCCAAATATTTATTATTGCGTGTACCTACACTTTAAGTCTACCTTTGTTAAAATGGCATGTCCGTAAATAAAGAATAAAGATTAATTTTCCCCGCTATTCCATCCACAGGCGTGTTTCGACCTATTGGTCTCGTCAGTGTGGCTAGGAAAGCAAAGAAAACCAATCGAAGTTTAGTGCCTGTAGACAAAGTAGTACTAGTAGTAGTACTACGAGATCTAAAATTTTCTTAATATAGGTACTTATTAAGAGTTTTTAGATTAGAGAATTATTATAAAATAATTTAAAATTTCCTCAAAATTTTTATAGGTATTAGGTATATTTTCTAAAATGAAATTGAAACAATAGATTAGTATGATATAATGTATTGAACGAAAAGCCATTATGGTGTTCCTAGAGGAATAATAAATGATATTTTGTCAGCAAATTCTCCCCAACTGGCTCTGTTTATTTGGAACACTGTAATCCAGGTTACAATGAGTATTAACCACAACAGGGCTCCCATACCAGAGTATATCACATCTAAAAAGGCAAAATAATAATTAACCTACTAGTAAGCCAATTTCAATAGTACTATGTTGAAAAATTAGGCATTAATATAAATCAGTCTATTTCTCGGTCTATTTGTTGTGTTTTATCACAAATTTTTATTCATAAAAACATAAAACTGACCAACTGACCAATTAAGACCTCTTGTGATCCGATTTATCCTTTCTTATTTTCAGGTTTTAATACAGAAAATGCACAAATATAATACCATAGACTTAAATACTACTCGTAGTATTTAGGTCTATGATAATACTAAATGGTAGAGGTAGGGTAGAGTGTAGCTGGGGATTAGGACTACTAGATTCTAGCCTAGTCTCTCTATTATGTTATTATTTTTTTCAGCTGTTCAGTCGCTTTGTACTTACACTTTCTTATTTGTTTTTGTTCATTATATTCTGGTTTTCGGAAAGCCTCATTGAAAAACCATATTGCATTTACAGCCCACACAAATGGTAAAAGGGCGAATCCAGCTGAAATTATTTTTAAGGATAATTTTGTAGATTACCTAGGTATTTGGAATAGAATAGAATTTACCTCTAAAATACCATTTGCTTAGGTGTAGTTTTTTCTCATTGGGAACTTTTGATAAATCCATTTTGAATAATAATTATTAATTACTGAATATCACACCAATTTAGTTTTTTCTTGTTGGAGTTGTTGGTTTTGGTTTTGTCTTTTGTCTCTAGTCTCTGTTTATTTTTTTTCCTATTTCTAATCATTCCAGGCTGAAAATCGCCTCAGCATTGCATTAGACCTTTCCACGTGGCTCCGGTTTAAACTAACCAGGTTACAAAACAGTTAGGAGTGGTATATCAAGTGATGACGTCATTGAAAATGTCACTTGAAAACGAACGGTAACTATATATCGCCGAGATGGTTAGAGAAAGGACATACTGTTTCCTAACCCGGTTACAAAGTGACGTCATGGATACCACTCGAATTTGAGCGGTATGTTGCGGTATGTTAAGCCGGAGCCATGTGAGAAGGGCTCTTGGGAAAAACCATAAAACCCAAAAACCATACGCCAGATGATTGCTCATTCGTATATTTGAAATGACGTCACGGACGGGTAATACGAATACGATGGATATGTTGTATCTAAAATAGCAAAGATACACTATGGGCAAGCGCGCACTAGCGGGACTGTTTAGTCGCTAAAATGGAACCCCTCCTTTCTATTCACATCGGTGAATTCACCGATGAGTTAGCTATCTTTGTTTAGTGAATGGAAAATGACAATGACCGACATAGAATGGTGGATCCATCGGTAAAATTTGATGAAAAAACGCAGGAACTCATTAATATTTTATCGAACATGCACGCATTCTCCGACAAAAGGTGAGTTCGGCTTGGCAGAACGGAGTTGGACCGGATAAAGAGCAGTTTCATAGTCACGTGATCACAGTGTGAAAAGAATAAAATGATTATGTCGAAGTAGTCGAACGCATCAGGAGCAAGGCAAGCCACGGCCCGCGAATGTCGTGTGCGCTTATCCCCGTCACAAACATGTGTTTTTGCGAATATTTTGGGGAGCGATGCCATTTTTTCTACCAGGAACATCGATTCTCGAATTTGGTAGAAGTGAACGTTCCCCTATGGGATTGAGGATTGAGCAATCCTGTAGAGTTTACGATTCTTGGCTCGAACCTAAACGTAACAACACGGTGCTTGACCTTAACGGCCATATTGGATTTTATTTGATAGGTCAACGGATTGCCTAATTAACATTCTAAAACAGTAAAACAATTCTTTAGATCTTTGTTGCATTCTCCTCTTTGCCTATTATGTCGATCAAAATTAAATAAAATTCTTCTTCATAAATGTATATTCTTATTTACGACCGCTGGCGCAAACCGCTAACGACACCGTTGATGACGTCGCCAACGGTGCAACAGCACATGAACCTGATTCCAGAAATCGAGTGTAATATCCTTGGTGCAGCCTAGCCGAGTTCAAATGTGCGGTTTCCCACGCTCTGTTTTTGTGTGAAATTTATCACGATACAACCAAACAGAATCTCGAAACCGAGAAATACCGGTAAGAGCCGATTAATTCATATCGGTTCCGGTTCTGCCTGCCTCACAACATTTCTATGAAATATGGGTTTCGTTCCGGTTCCGGTTCGCAAAAAAGAAAACGGTTCCTGGTTCCGTTCCGGTTTTTGGTTCAATATCGTTCCGGTCTGGATCCCTGCCCTGCTTTTGGATTTGAAAATTGAAAATTAAGAATCAGTCATGCATGTCAAGGATACCTACGCGAGTTACGATAAGAAAATTTCAATCTAGGAAAAATAAAGACGTGAATCGTTTCATTGAAAATCAATTTCAATTAAATTTGTGCGCCAAAAGTTTCCTTTTCCTTCGCCAGAATGTACTCGTATACGACGTCACAATTCACATGACGTAATTGACAGGTCGTGAGATCTACATGTGAAAAAGCGTACTAAACTACATACACAAGACCAAAGACAGAAGGGCTACACACACACAAAAAATACAAAAATGTTCATAATCTAGCAGTGGAATTTTTCATGTTATTCGGGTGTCGAAAAACAATAAAATATGTCCGGGCAAACGGTCCCAGTGGAAAAACTAGTGCGAGTGGGTTATTACGAGCTGGACAAGACCATCGGCAAGGGAAATTTTGCTGTGGTAAAGCTAGCTACACACATCGTCACCCGTACCAAGGTAAGAAAATTCCACACAGAAGAACAACACCAAAGGAATGTTTCATTGTGTTTTCTTTAAAACAAACATTATACTTTTAAAATTTTATCATTTTGTATTAAATCAATTATCTCGGCATAGAATAAACATTAATATCAATGAAAACAGAAGGGTAATTAACCTTGACAGGTCCATGTCCTCCTTGGTCTACTCTACAACCTAAGCGCAATGCGATTTTTTTTTATTGAGTGATAATCTAGCTATAATTTTTGTTAATCAGAAATGTGTGACACAGGATGGCAACCATTTAGAGGGGACAATTTGCTACTAACTATTGCAAGATAGTTTTGAATAATAAAGGCCTTCAAAAGAGATTTTGTTTCCATTCAATTTCTGTTATGGTCTATTTTGTTTGTTTAGTTTTTACCATTTAATTAAGGTTATTCTAAATTGCCTGTATGGTCTTAACTAGTCTCAAGGGTTTTTCATAATATTTAATGAAAAAACGAAAATGTTAGATAACAAAAACCTCGACAAAAACATGACTTGTGTTTGATTCACGTTTTGAATAGTTGTCATCATTTCAACATCGCCTGCTTTCAGAGATTAGCGAATAAAATTCTTCTAGATTGGTGATCTTCTCGGTGATCAATTCAATTCAAAATGTGCTTTATTGTGTAAATATAAATATTTGTTCACAAAAGCTGATCCTATGTCTAGAAAATGAAGTACACAGCTGTAGTAAGAGAAAATATCCAAATGTATACCTACCTACTTAAAATAAAAAAGCTCACAAAACATTTAAGAAAATAAAAATCAGTCATAAAAAATAAAACTTAAAACTAAGAGTCACACAAATAAAACTTAAAAAACTCAAAAACTGTTTCTATTCAAGAACCAGAGAAATAATTTAAAATATATAATTTAAAAGAACAGAACATTTTTTACATTGAGGGCGATAAAACGTCATTGTATAAAACTCATATTAAACACGAATAGCAGGGGTAACAAAAACGGATAAAAAAAGAAATGACATACAACACAAAATCAAAAATCATTGAAAAATCAAAAATCATTGTAAAAGTCTTCAATACTATAATAAGTTCCCGCAAGCAGCAGTTTCTTGACCTCCTTCCTAAATTTAACTGGAGTGAAAATTGATCTTATTGAGTGTGGTAAGTTATTAAACATTTTCTTGCCATTATATAATTGACTTTCTTACCAATTCCGAAGAGGGAATTGGGAGAGAAAGTTGATGTTGGTGTCTAAAATTATACGCACGTTCAGCCCCTAACTGATCTTTAAATTTCTTGTGTACAAGACACACACTCTCCAGGATAAACAGCGATGGAAAGGTCAAAATTCTATTGTTTGAAAATAAAGGCCTACACGAGTCCCGCATTCTGGCCCTGAACAAATATCTGATAGCTCGCTTTTGCAAGACAAACACACTCTGAAATAATTGTCGGGAACAAGTACCCCAGAAACAAACACCGTATCGCAAATGAGATTCAATCAGGGCGAAGTAAGCATTCCTGACGATTCCCACATCCAATTCACCTGATAAAACCCTAATTGCATAACAATTGGATGCCAATCTATTTTGTAAAGAAATAATGTGTGACTCAAACTTTAAGCAGCTGTCAATGAAGATTCCCAAAAATTTATTTTCGGTCAAGTTATTTAGTAAAGAACCATTCAAAAAAATATCCCCCAAATTGCAGCCAAATGACATTACACTAGTTTTGCTTATATTCAAAGACAACCTGTTTGCATCACACCAGGATTTAATAATTTCTATGTCAGAAGCTACAGCTTTGCCAAGTAAACTTTCAAATCAAATCAATCAAATCAAATAACGCTTTATTGTCTAAAGAATAAACTCATTGACAAAGCCTAAAAAATATAAATTTAACCCTAAATTCTAAATCTTAGCAATACTCAATACAAAATAAATTATAGACACATAACTTAGGGCTAGTCAGTTGTTCAAATATACTACAAATACTATTCCGATTAGATAAAATTAAGTTAAAATACAAAATTTACACAAAAACAGGAATACTTTTTTAAAATCTTGATATAATAGTTAAACAAAACAATCAAAGTAAAAATTAATATAAGATTAAACGACTAAAAAACATCCTTATAGAACTCTTCTAAACTATAGTATGCCTTCAATTTTAGAACGGACTTTACACATTTTACAAAACTCTTAAGATCATGGAGACCCTTCCACTCATCCGGCAAATGATTGTATATCTTTAAACTTTCATACATTAAAGAGTTTTTGGTAAAACCACTCCTGGGTATTGGTAATGGTATATTATGTCCATAACGTGTGTTGTGGATGTTGAGATTTATAAAATTTCTATACTTTTTGTGCACCAAGGAGACAGTCTCCAAAATAAAAATACATGGCAATGTAAGGATTTCTTCCTGAACAAACAATGGCCTACAATGGTCCCTAGCCTTCAATTTGCATAAATACCTAAGCGCCCTCTTCTGTAGGACAAACACAGAATTAAAAAGTTGTTTGTTACAAAAACCCCAAAATGCAATCCCATATCTCAAATGAGACTCGACAAGTGAATAATATACCGACTTAGCCATGAGTGACCCCAGCCGCCCCGTGACAATACGAACAGCAAAGCATCCAGATGCCAATTTCTTGTTCAGACACAATATATGCTCTTTAAATTTTAAATCCGAGTCTATGTGCAAGCCCAGAAACCTGCAGCTAGCCTTATTTGCCACGAAATAATTGTCCACATTCAGATCATCCAACACAAACCTAAAAGAAATAGCACTAGTTTTATTTAAATTGAAACAAAGTAAATTTGCGTCGCACCACTCCTTCACACGTCGTAGGTCTTCAATTATGATATCTTTTAATAAACTAGCATCTTCATCAAGCCACAAGATGGTCGTATCATCTGCAAAAATGGTAAAACGGCCTCGAATATCTAGTCTAGCCAAGTCATTCAAGTACAATAGAAAAAGAACTGGAAAATCTGGTACCTGTTGTTGATATTGTAGTCTGTAAGCTATATTTAGATAACTCTACCCTATTTATTTTTGGTATTTATATTCCACCCAACTCACCCTCCAACTCACACCAGACCCTATTTGATTTTTTCTCCACATATGAACCTATTCAAAATAACAAAGTCGCTTTTATCGGTGATTTCAATCCCAACACAAATGTTAAGGAAACTCATATAAATGATTTTTTAGCGCTGGGGGGCCTAACACAATTTAACACTTTCTCAAACATTTCGGGTAACATATTGGATCTTGTTATTGCTAACTTTGAATGTGAGGTAACTAGAGAACATCTTCCCCTTGTCCCGGAGGATTCTGCACACCCCACCCTTAATGTTTCATTTGACATGCAGCTAAACCCAGATGCGGGTTTCAGTGACTTTCCAACCTCTAACACAAGTAGAAACTATAACTTTAATAAGGCCGATTTCAACCTGATGTACCATCTACTTACTGTCGCAAATTGGGACTCTTTAATCAATGAATCTAATGTTAACCAAGCCGTCAATCATTTCTATGATACTCTTTACACCATTTTTGACCAATGTGTCCTATTGTATAAAAAAAAATCAAGTAGGGTTGTGTACCCCAACTGGTACACCAAAGAAATAATAGACAATCTTAATGAGAAGACTAGGCTTCACAAAAAATATAAAAAAAGTGGCTCAAACTTGGACTATCAAGCATATTCAAACATGAGACGTATGACAAAAATAAAAATTGATGTCGCATACAAAGCATATATAAGGGACACTGAATCTTCAATCAAGGTGAATCCAAAGCACTTCTGGAAATACATTCGTCAAAAACGCAATAAAACACGTATCCCAAGTAAACTAATTTCTGGTCAATCCTCCCTAGATTGTCCACAGAGTATAGTTAATGGCTTTGCAGAGTTTTTTAAAAGTGTCTATGAAGCATCTTCAGATTTTAGCTTGGATAGCCTGAATGATGTTGGCAACTCTCAGAACATTAATGTCACCCATATTACTGAATCGGAAATCTTTGATTCCCTGAAAAAATTGAAAAACACACATACTTCTGGGCATGACAAAGTACCATCTTTCATACTGCGGGACTGTGCCCCATGTTTTACATCTCCACTGCACCACATATTTAATTTAACAATCAAGACACACACTTTCCCCGATCACTGGAAAAAAACTAAAATATGTCCAGTATTTAAGGGCGGGGATATTAACAATATCTCTAATTACAGACCAATCTCGATTTTGTCCAACTTTTCGAAGGCCTTTGAGGTCTGTGTATATGACAATCTCTTCCACCAAGTTAAAAACTTAATTACCACTATCCAGCATGGATTTTATAGCAAACGCTCAACTGTCACTAACCTAACTTCTTTCCTAACAAAGGCATATCAGGCTGTAAATGAAAGAAAACAACTTGATGTGATCTACACGGACTTCTCGAAGGCGTTCGATAAGTTGGACCATGGGCTTATTGCTCATAAAATGCTACAAATTGGGTTTCACAACAACCTTATTAATCTATTTATCTCCTATCTCAGTGGTAGGTCACAATTTGTCGAATACAATGGGTTCCAATCCTATGATTATAATGCCACCAGCGGAGCCCCTCAAGGAAGTAATCTCGCGCCTCTGATATTTGCCATATTTGTCAATGATATTGCCCAGAACGTCTCATCACACAGTTTATTATTCGCAGACGACCTCAAACTATTTAGAATAATTAACAACTTGGAGGATTGTAACGAGCTGCAGAAAGATATTGACGCACTTTCAGGTTGGTGTAAAAATAACAAATTATATCTAAACATCAATAAGTGTAAATCAATGACCATCTCAAATCTCAATCATGAGTTGAATTTTAATTACCAACTCCAATCTAGTTCTCTTTTGAAAGTTGACTCAATCCGGGATCTGGGGGTGGTGATCGACAAAAAGCTCACATTCAATGATCATATTGATCAAATTGTGAATTCATCATTGAAAACC